GAGCCAACTGGCTTTTACATGGGGACAGGAACACATCTTTTTTTCATCGGGCTGCTACTGCGAGGAAAAAGCGTAATCAAATAAAGAAACTTCTTGATGATTCTGGTAATTGGCAGCAAGGCACGGACGACCTAAACAAGTTAATTACTGATTATTTTTCTACACTTTTCACGTCGAAAGTTTTAGATCCAGATCAGGGAGTTTTATCACATGTTCGGCGCAGGGTTACTGATTCGATGAATTTAGCGTTGTTGGCCCCTTATACAGCTGAAGAAGTCCGCAAAGCACTCTTCGATATAGGTGACCTTAAGGCACCAGGGCCTGACAGTCTTCATGCTGTTTTTTATAAGAGGTTCTTGACGATCTTGGGTGATGACCTAGTAGAAGAAGTCCTCAGAGCAGTTAATTCTTGCAGCATGCCCAATGGGTGGAATGATACGATGATTGTTATGATTCCTAAAGTGCATTCGCCGAAGAAGGTAACACAATTTAGGCCAATTAGCTTATGCAATGTGGTTTATAAGGTTATCTCGAAGATGTTAGCAGCTCGTCTTAAATTAATTCTACCAGAGGTAATTAGCCGTACTCAAAGCGCTTTTGTTCCGGGTCGTCTGATCACTGACAACGTATTGGTTGCTTATGAGAGCCTTCATACAATTAAAAAAAAGGGAAGGAAAGGAAGGTTGGTGCGCTGTGAAGTTGGATATGCACAAAGCATATGATCGAGTGGAATGGATCTTCTTGGAAGGGATGCTATTGAAGCTGGGCTTTAAAGCAAGCTGGGTAAAACCCATTATGATGTGTGTTACCTCAGCCCAATAGAGAGTTCGTTTCAATTCAGATGAAACCGAAAGCTTTAAACCAACAAGAGGGCTCCGACAGGGAGACCCACTGTCGCCATATTTGTTCTTGCTCTGTATAGAGGGTTTATCAGAATTATTAGCGCATGCAGAACAAGTTGGAGAGCTGAATGGTATAAGGTATGCCGTGATGCACCTGCTATTACAAACCTATTATTTACAGACGATTCATTGATTTTAATGAAAGCAAACTCCGTAAATGCTGCATGTCTGAAATCAGTACTGGATGCATATTGTTTGGCATCAGGATAGATGATTAGTGTGGATAAGTCCACCATTTTCTTCAGCCCAAGTACTGATGTTAACACTAGAGTGCAAGTGTGTTCTACCTTGGGTATCATGACGGAGGCTCTAAATGATAAATACTTAGGGCTCCGTGCAACTGTTGGGCTTGAAAAAACTGATTGCTTTCAATATCTTGTGGATCGTTTAATACTCAAAATGAATGGATGGAAGGAGAGAGTTTTGTCTGCCGGGGGTAAAGAAATTATGATTAAATCAGTAGCACAAGCCATACCATCATATGCAATGTCCGTCTTTAAAATTCCTAAAAAAAATTGCAAAGGAATCACTAACGCGGTTGCGCAATTTTGGTGGGGTGACAATGCTAATCATAAGAGAATGCACTGATTCACCTGGTGAAAAATGTGTGTCCCAAACATGAAGGGAGGAATGGGATTTCGTGATTTACATTGCTTTAACCTTGCACTTCTAGCGAAACAGGCATGGATGCTCATTGATAATCCAGATTCACTTTGTGCAAGGGTCTTGAGAGCTAAATATTTTCCGGATGGAGATCTTCTTAATGCTACTCTAAAGAAAAGATCTTCTTATACTTGACAAAGCATCAAGGCGGGAGTCAACACAATAAAACTTGGGTATATTTGGAGAGTGGGTGATGGTCAAAACATAAATATTTGGAGTGATCCGTGGATCCCACAAGCACCGGACAGAATGGTGATTACTAGAAGAGGAGGTCGGTTACTATCGAAAGTTGATGATCTCATAAATCCTGCTAATGGTGAATGGGACGAATCACTTGTAAACCAAACATTTTGGCCCGTTGATGCAAGAAGGATTCTTGCAATTCCCCTCCCAGCTCATGACATGACTGATTTTATTGCATGGAATTTGACAAAAACGGGTATCTTTTCGGTGAGATCAGTGTACCACATAGAATGGAACCGCCAATTTGGTAGTAGAATGAAAGTAAGTAATGGTATGGGTGCAACTGTTGACAATCCTATCTGGAAGACCCTTTAGACCCTGAGATATCCATCTAAGATAAAAATTAATGCATGGAGGACTCTGCATGGAGCATTGCCATGCCGAGCTGTTTTAGCCCATAGACATATAAAAACCCCTCCACAATGCCCAGCTTGCAACCTAAGCGACGATACCATAAAACATATGTTAATTGAGTGCAAGAAGGCCAAAGACGTATGGAGACATCTTGGTGTCAACGACATGATTAGTGAAGCTTGTAGCCGTGAGGGTGCTGGGGAATCTATCTTGGAAGAATTGATATAAGCACCTGAAGAAGCAGCAGTGGTTCTTGGCTAAGGAAGTTTTCGTGAAATAGTAGCAGTAACAGTTTGGTACTTGTGGTGGGAACGCCGTAAACCCGTGCATGGAGAACAACTACAATCAGCAATACAGATTAGTATGGCAGTCAGAGTTCTAACAAGCAACTACTCACGAGCAAGTCTACCAAAGGCTAGGCAAAAAAGTGATGGGTGGTCAAAACCAATGCATAACTATGTCAAGTTGAATATTGATGCAGGTTTTGATGCTGATTCACTTATGGGGACTTTTGGTGCTGTTTTGAGAGATAGTAAAGGTGACTTTCTGGCAGCTGCAAATAACAAAGTTGAGGCTTGCTTGGATGCCCTCACAGCGGAGACAATGGCGCTAAGATTTGGCTTACATTTAGCGCAAATTGTTGGCTGCAATCGGCTGGTCGTCAACTCCGACAATGTTGATGTTATTAGCACCATGTGCGAATGAGATTTCTATGCAGGTGTGGGAGCTCCTATCTTTGACGAGTGCTATCATATGTTGACAAACTTTGTTCATGTCATATTCGAGCACCCTCCACGGGAGGATAACACAATGGCTCATGAATTAGCCCGTATTGCTAGATATAATAATCCTAGTATTTGGTTAGATGAACCCCCCAGGGTTTAATTTATTTTCTTGTCAATGATGTATCTCTGATTACCAATGAATAAAGAGGGGGTTTCAAGCGTAAAATAAAACCTCCACAGGCCGACGTGCCGAGCCCCCTCCGACTCCTCCCGAGAGGCACCCTCCCTCCCTCCTGCTCATCTTGGGTTGCTGGCCCGGCGACCGAGCGGCCAGCATGGGCTGTGAGCCGGCCGGATGAGTAGGGAGCTGCTGTGAGCCGGCCGGATGAGTAGGGAGCTGCGACGGCGAGCAGACAGATACAGCCGAGTACTAGCACAGAGGCACTGTGGTCCTTCCACCAGCCAACAAATGGAAAATGGAAAGGGGAATGGGTTAAACAAGTGCTAATGCAATACTCTACTAAGGAGAGTGACAAACTTGAGAAACTAATATGAAAAGTGGCAATTGTGCCTCTCAGTAATTAAGGAGTCGACGAACAGTGGCAAATTTAAAAATTAATACTACGAAAAGTGCCAATTGTGGAAAACTACATGCTAAGAGTTGCAAATATCTGATGTTCTTTAAAAAAGGAAGGCGACAACTACTCAAAGCACTCGTGCTAGCACCAGGAAAGTCTCAAGCAAATGTTTCTTTTCCTTTGAAATCTAAAGGATATGAAGCCAATACTCCGGAATCTTGTTTTCCTATTCCTGAGGGCACCAAAGGTACTTTTCTATGAACCCCACAAATCCAGTGCTCCAAACGAAGGGCTCACCGTCAAATTGTCCACTTGGAGGTCCTTCCAGTGTGCGATAATACGTCAATCCCTTAACACTGAGAGAACATGCAGCCTCGTGAAAATGTGATCATTTGCCTCAAAATCCATGTCGCAAAGATTGCAAGCTTAATCATGGGGCGAACCTCGCTCCGTCAGGCGGTCTGCCATCAAAGCAATCTTATGGAGGACGAGCCAAAATTAAAAAGTTTGTAGCTGGGCTCCGCCTTTGCTTGCCAGATCTTATTAGCCACGAAAACATGTTGGGGCACTGTCAAAGAGGACTTGTCTCTTCTTTGCTCAGATTTTTGCACTGGTGAACTAAATCTCGAGAGCATCAATACGGACTATGATTCAAAAACAAAATGCCTCAGTTGAGACAGCTAATGATTACCGGCCCATCACTTTGCTCAACTGCTACCTAAAATTGATCACATACCTTCTGGTTAGCAGGTTATCTTAAGAATTATTCACCATAATCGATTCGGTTTTCTACGAGGCCGCACTATCCAGGATTGGTTTGGCTTGGGGCTTCGAAGACATCCATCACTGTCAAGCTTCTCAACCCGACATTGTTGATCCAGAGAATCCAAATACAACAGTCTAACCAGAGTTAAAGAACAGAAATAAAATGGTTTATGGATAGTTTGGATACAGCTCAATCCAAAAAAAAAAACAAAAAAAAAACTAGAGGTGCATGAGTTAGAATTATAAGCTACAAATTTGAAGGGTACTAACCCGGTATTAACTACAAACATACCGACTTAGTGAACTAAGTTCTCTAGTAGGTTTGTAAAGCTGCATATTGTTTGATATCATCAATCGAAGACCATGCAAGTTTCATACTTGAAAGGAAACTAAGCCTTCTTTATACCCATTGTATATGTTGTAACATACATTGAAAAGCCAATCCAGAAGGACATAACAAATAAATCTTCCTAATGCATAAAAGCAGGGCAAATCAATATTTAAGGTTGGTGGATACAAAGTTGCATACTAAAGATATATTTGTAGGAAAATAAACATTTCAAACATAGATAATATATTTGTCTCACATTTGTCCCCATACGAGAAGCTAAAAGAGTGACATCAATAACTATTACATGAAAGCAAATAGGGCAGTTACAAATTCTTCATGGCTACGCAAGACTAATCCAACACACATCTTCAAGAATTGGGATATACACGACAACTGATGTTTACTAAGATACTAGAGCCATGCCAAGTATTGCGAGCCTTTAGTGACCATCTGATGTCCATTCCACAAAAGAGGGAGTGTAAGGTAGGCCTTCCAAGAAATCTCCAGTAGCACAGATAATATGCACTTCCTGATTATCCATATCATATGACAATGTCTTCTCCTTATTGTCAGTAAGAAAAATCAAATTACATTCTGGATGAATTGCAAACATCGAGTAGGACTCGTAATATTTGCGACAATCCCTTCCAAACAGTTTGGAACAGCTAACAGTACACTTTAGGGTCCACTCTCCGCTGTCATAATTTTCAAGAACCCAAATAGACAGTTGGTAATCACCTTGATCCTTTATATGCCAAGCAAACAAGCGTCCCTGGGACTTCCCGATGGAAACATCACCATATTCATTTGTCATGCCACGTGGCATTTTAATTTTCCTCCAATATTTCCTTTCCATATCCACTGTGACTATTACCGAATAACGAGTAGGGAAATGCATAGTGTTATTCAGGAAGGTGCTTTCTAGATAACTAATTGGATATGTACTGAAATCATTGCGCCGTGTGAAAGTCCATCCTCCAGTATCTGATGAGTAGACCATGTCTGCGGACAGGCCATATATCTGAGGTGAGTTCAGGGGCACAAACACGACGAAGCGGGAAGGAATGGCCGCGTCAAAACCTAAAAAGTATTTGCCTGGGCGGAAAAGCGGAAGGTGATCAGGCAATTCTATAGGAGGCAACAAAGTCCACTGCTGAGTGGCAGGATTGCAGACAACGTAATCGAATTCCTCGGCCTCGGGCCATTCAAAAAATTGCTCGGTTTTTCCTTTCGGAAGAGAATTCCAACCGAGTTGCTTAGGATAGGGAACTTTCCAGCATTTGCAAAGGAGAAGGCTGGTGCTGCATTGTGTGACACTGAAATGTTTATAGCTGCCGCGTAAGAAAGAGAGGTCGGGATCGACCATGGGAGGACCTTTTTCCGGACAAATTGTGGAAACGCAAACCATGGTCTTTGTAGAAGAAGCCGGACATGGCCTGCGGCGACTTCTTGCGGGTGTGGGAGTAGGAGCAGAGGGGGAGCCACTCTTTGGATACACACTTGAAGCGGCACACCGATCTGCAGGGCACCCGTGACAGGATCTCCATGAGAGCGTCCTCAGGAAAGGTCGCCGCTGGGACCTCCTCCTCCTGCCGCACATGCTTCAGTTTCTTCTTCTCCTCCTTCTAAAAATGGCACTTAAAGAATTCAATTCAGCTCCCAGTATCAAATCCTGGACCTAGGATTGGAAGGAGGATTGGAGCAAACCTCAGATGCCAGGGGGATGACGGCGAGGCCAGGCAGCAACGGCAACGGCGGCGGATGCGAAGAACGGGATGGATCCTCCTCGTCCCGATCTCCGTGGGAGGTTGCCGGATCGCCGTAGCCGTGGTCGCATCCGCCTCCTCCTGGCGGCATTTCCTACTCTAGTTCGGCGCCGGCAGGGGCTGTCACCGGCCGGCGGCACAGGTCGGCTCGTCGAGGGTTTGGTAAGGGGATGGGGATTGGGGAGGGGCGGCGGCCGCGACCCAGTGAAAAATAATGGGATTGCTAAACGCGCTGGGCTTGGGCCGATTAGCTGTGAAATGTTCCCGGCCCGTCCTTCAAGTGTACATACGATGTTTTGTCTCAAAAAAAAAGTGTACATACGATATCTCTGGTTTGCAATCGAAATCACTAGTTTTTTTTCTTAAGAAATCACTCGTTTTGCCTTGTAAACAATCACTTCCTATTTTCTCTTGTGCTGACAACTAATGCACATGTACAATTGAATTGTGCATCCAAATTCCGAACCTTTTTACAGTTTGATTTCCCGCATCGAGACTTTGAAACTAGATCCCGTGTTAATAGCTTTCCGCAACTCTTTTTTCAGGAAAAAAATGAATACTCGTGTTGTAGTCGCCTGAGTGCCTATTAAGCAATGAGATCCGGGGACGATGTGGCAGGGGATGACAGTGGTGGTGCTGGAACTTGACGTAAATGATCACTTTAGTGCTATAACTTGTGGCATACATCGAAGTGGTGCAGAAACTTGGTTCAGACGTGCAAATGTGGTGCTAATCGTGTTTGTATACACCCAAGACACTGACGAGGCATGCTAGCGTGGCATGGGGCCCGTTTGTCAGTGACCCAACAATGAAGACAAGGCGTGTGGCATGCTTTTTTGCATGGAACCCCCTCGTTTTTTTATTTTTTTCATAGAAAAGTTGTTGACAAGCGGGTCCCAGTTATCTGCAGCGCACAAATTTAAATTGACTGGAAAAAAGGTATGCTCAGGTTTCCAACCCGAGCAACCTCAAGTTCCCTGCTTGCGAAGTTAGCCAGCCAACCCATTCACCATTCATGTACATTAAGGAAACACAGGCTATATTTTCGCAGAAAAAAAGTATGTCAGCATAACCTTTACTAAGCACACTTATTAAAATTTCAGTACTTCATAAGCTCATATAGACCTTGGTTATCACCATTTTCAATACGGGAAGTGGATCATCAGTAGGGATTTTGCTTAGGTACTTCCATAAATTAACAGATGATATTTTTTCTCTTGAAGTATCCTTGTGCGTATAAGAAACTGATGACCATAAGCATGACAAATATATGATGTATTCTTGTCCTTTTCCAGCACAAGAGCTCTACCCAGCATGGCTTCCCCATCTCTGGTCGTTCCCTTGCATTCCTCCATTGGTGGCTGGGAAGATGGGCCACCACCGAAGCCGCTCCCAGTAATCGCCAAACTGTACCTGCTAGATTAATGAGGTCGCAGCCGAGGCCGACCATCGCCGCGCCAACTCATGGGTTTGATGTGGGTTTATTTGCATATTATTTACTTAATAAAATGGTTTGAGGTGAAGAGCCAAAGGCCTGAAGCCAAATGTTCCTAACAGAATGACGATCCGCAGGAAACAAGGCCAACGCTATGTGTGCCTGCAAGATTGAAGTTCCCAGATATTTTACTTTTCTCCATGATCCTACACCATTGTATTGCTTCATGTAGATCCCTTTATCATTCATTTTTATTGTTCAAATCTCTATATGGTTGTCATATAGATGCTATTACAGGGATGTAGCACTAATGCATTATATTTTTCATGCGTTGTCGTAAACAGAACTCCCTCTGTATTGATGCATATATGTTTTTTTCTTTTAATTACAGTATCTCTTTTCGGACTGGTCGGGCTTTCTAGATTTCTAGATTGGAGGAAGTTTGTTTGAAATTTGCCTTTGGGTTTCAGAAAATTCAGAATAAGTTCCTACACCAGCCGTAACTAGATAATAACTAGATAAATCATGTATTACGCAATGCTCTGCGCCATTATCCGTGGAGTATTTGCAGCTGTATTCTTTGTCGTTCGATGCTCAATCAGGTGAGTCTATTTTTCCATTTTTGATTCATAGTTGCTGGCACAAATTGGCCAGTGCATTTGGTCCTATCATTGACAACAATTTCCACATGTCAACTGGGGAAAGATATGCCCATCATCAGTGCACCTTTTGCCATTTTTTGCTATTTTTTTCTGTTCTATGTATACATGCAGTTTCGACAATTAGCTGCAACAACTATTTTTTTTCTTTTATTTTGCTGCTAGGGCTTGTGGCCATACATGTTAAACAGCAAGACGATTTAATTTGTGGTCTAATAATACGTTTGTTAATAATTGCAACAAAAATAGATCTACTTTTTGCTAATAGTGGCCAAATAAAGGAGGATCCAGACTATGACAAGTTTACATTGTACAGAATTAGTGCTAACAATAAATTTCTCTCTTTTCTTCTTATTTTATATTGATAATAGCTCCTGAATTAGTTTTTAATTACCACTCCCCCTTTGTAGAATGGTCGGATTTTTATGCATGAACAATAACCCTGTTTTATTTTAAGAATGGGGCTCTAAAATGGACGGAGGGGCTTAAGTTCAGCAGCCAAATAGGGCAGGCATGTTGTGTATAGAGTTTGCAAGATATGCTGTTCATTTCTTACACTTAAAAAGCTTAGTCAGAACAACTATTTCATATTCCAATACATAATGAAAGCACTTTTCTTATCTTTCTTCCATGCTTTTCATTACGTGATTCGATAACCATGATGACAGATAACTTGACTATTTCGTATCTGTATTTCAGGTTTGCACCTAATCATTTACTTTCTAAAGAACACCTCTGAAGTTTCATTACACAGGAAGTGAGTCACTATCGCTATCATGGAAATTCGAGTATTTAGCATTTTCAGTATGTTTTGTCCCCCTCTTTTGCGAGTTAATTGACATAAGGTTGCTTCAAATGCAATATGTACTAATAGTTGCATCACATTATGCATTTGCTTCATTTTAAACCTGCCACTTGTGTGTCCATCATGATATTGGTGCGATTTATTTTCCTAAGGGTATATTCATCTCACCAGAAATTTATTTTGTGTGGCTTTTGTCTTCCTAAATTTCGCGTGTTTTTTTTCCTGGTTAGCTAACCAATTATTATTCTAGCGCATGCTGTACTAAGGGCTTTTTACCTTATTGCACAGTTTATCATTCTAGAAGACTAGAATTTTCTCCACAGTTAGGATGTTGATATGAAAAGTTTAATTCATGTTTAATCATTCCAGAGCTAAGCTTAGCTTAGAGAAACTGTGCTTGCTGCATGCCACCTGTGTCATACAAAAATGTTAAATTAAATTTCTTCATTTTTGTACATGAATATGTTGCACTACATGAGATGAGACAAACTCAGAATGGGAGCAAAATAGTCATGACTACTGGCGAACTCTTCTAGCTTGCCGCGTTCCCACTGGTGGCGTTTGTAGTCAAGCCCAACAATTCAACTTGTGATGATAACATGTAGCACGAAACCCAAGAGGGAACGGGTTTAGTTTTTCCAGGACAACTATTTTTTTATATTTATTAAAAATTTGCAGTCATGTTCACTTGGACAATACCTATACCTATTATAAGTCCTTCAAGTTCAGACAAGAAAAATTAGATATCCTAAAATCTTTACTATACAATCATTTTGGTATTCTTGAACTTCAAATGACATCATCAAAAGATAATTGATGGTTTGCATTACTTGACCTTTAGACATGCGGGATCATCAGGCACTATAGATATTCTTTTCCCCCAAATTTCTAGAATATGAATTAAGAATTCAATACTCATGTGATTTTAATAAGCTGCTTTGATTGAGACGTGCATTGCACGTGCAAGCTTACTAGTGTACATTAAGGAAACACAAGCTATATTTTCACAAAAAAAAAGGAAACACAAGCTATATATCCTTAGTTGAATAACAAAAAATAGAAAAATATCATAAAAATGATGCAGCCGCAGAGACTCGAAGTCTGAGCGTACCATTTGTTTTATTTTAACATTTTCAAAATGTTTTTTCGAAAATTTACTAAAAATGGAATTATAGTTTTAAATAATATACCTATAAATAAAATAAATAGTGTTAAGTAAATGCTCATGTAGTTTCATAAAATGTTCATCTATTATATTAATAAAAAATCATAAATTAAATTATAATTTTAAAAGTGTTTGCACATTTTAAATAAAAAATTAAAGTCATTGATAGAAAAATGTATATGTAAATAAATTCTTATATAAGTACAAATATTTCCATGTTTTAAATAAAATATTAATTTAGTAGTATATAAAAGTGTCCAGTCATTAAAATAATTATGTTGTTTTAAAAGTGTTCATGTGATTTTAATAAAGGTTTTTTGTTGACTGAATACTGTGGGGCAACAACCTCATAGTTTTTAATTAAAACTCAAAGGAAAAGGTTCTGTACATACAAGTAAAGGAATACCTACCTACGGTGTTATACATGAACAACTAATTACAAAGAAACAACGAAAACAACCAGCAATCTCCATCTTGCACCACTAAGGTCGGTAATAAAGGTTTTTTTGTCAGATGTTTTCTAATAAAGTTTGTGTGTTTTCAGAAAAAATATAACTATAACTATAAATATATGTAAGAAGACTGTTGTTCCTCAAATGAATGCATATTTAAAATTATATGTATGTTATTTATAGTTAAAATTAACTTTTTTACAAACTGCAAAAATGAAAATAAAATAGTAACATATTAAAAATGGGTCACACTAACTGACAAACTGTTGTCAGTTTTGGCCCATGAGCACGTTTTGTTATAGACATAAATTGTAGCATTGTCTAAAAAACGTAAAGAGTAACAAACCTTTGCAAATTTGTGTTGTTTAATTAAAGAATATTCACCTAAAAATATTAAAGAATATAAGGTTGTGTATCCTTTTCAGACAACGAGCATGATTTTTGTCAAGTGGTTAGCAGCGGACACGTTAAATTGAAGGTCGCTGGTTTGAAACCTAAGCGCATCCTTTTCCGTTCAATTTTTTTTTCTGCTGACAGCTAGGACACGCCTGTCAGGGTCTTTTTGGTGAAAAAAAAGGGGGTTTCTAGGAAAAAGGAAAAACCCACACGCCTTGTCTTCATTGTTTGGTCACTGACAATGGGCTCCATGCCATGCTGGCAGGGCTCGTCAGTGTTGCGGGCGTATATAAACGTGATTAGCACCGTATTTGCACGCCTAAGCCAAGTTTTTGCGCCACTTTAATGTATGCCACAAATTCTAGCACTAAAGTGACCGTTTACGCCAAATTTTAGCACCATCGATGTAATTGACTCTTTGTGTAATTATGCACAACTTGATGCGGAGCATAAGGAGAAGGCATTTCGCTCTGAATTTTTTAACATATGATCCTGTCCAACTTGCATAGCAGAATTCAACAGCGTTTGAGCAATTTCTTTAAATGCATCATCTTATTTATAATCGAGAAACTCATACACAACTTCAGAATGATCTAATTGAGCATTTATGAGTGTTTCATATGCACGACTAAACATGTGTCTGAATAAACTAAATTTGAATTGTAATGTCGTATTTGAATTGTTGTTGCATTCAAATGTTTATTTTTCAAGTCATTGACACAATGTGGTATTTATCTTTCATTATTTTAATTTTTAATATTTAAAATATAAGAAAAGAAAACAAGACTGAACAATGTCCGTCTAAATTAAGAAATAGATTTAGAAATAAACGCTAGCACCAAAATTTGGCTTCGCTAGAACACTTGGGAAAAGCCTAGGCATGCCACGTGTGGGTCATCCGGGGAACGCCACGTTTGAGATGGCCCAACCACCGTTCCCTTGGAGAAAAGAACCCGAGAGTCCACCGGCGCTGCCGACAGCGTAGCGTCCACCTTCCGCCTCCAGTCCGCTGCGTAAAATCCGGCCGTCTAGATGGCTCTCCGGCGCATCGCCGGCGCGCCGACGTCTTCCTCCTCCTTCAAGTCCTTCACTACTGTTCTCCCACTGGCAGCGGAGACCGCGTCCGCCTCCCCGTCCTACCTTGCCCACCACCTGCTCGACGAATTCTCCCGCCCGCGCGCCTCCCGCGACGGGGAGCGCCTCCGCCGCCTCGCCGCCCACCTCACCGCGCCCGCGGTGGAATCCGTCATCGCGCGGCTCCCCTCCTGGCGCCACGCGCTCGACTTCTTCCGCTGGGCCGACGAGCAGCCGGGCTTCCGCCACTCCTGCTACTCGTTCAACGCCATGGCCTCGCTCCTGCGCCGCCGCCAGCCCGCCCACCTCGACCGCCTTGCCGCCGACGCGCTCGCCGCGGGCTGCCCCATGACGCCCGGCGCGCTGGGGTTCCTCCTCCGCTGCCTCGGCGACGCCGGGCTTCCTGACACTGCCTCTCGTGTCTTTGACAGCGCGAGGGCGCGCCTTAGCTGCACTCCCAACTCATACACCTTCAACTGCCTTCTTGACGCGCTGGCTAAGGCCGGCCGCGCAGACGACGCGGAGGCAAGGCTCCAGGAGATGCTGGTGAAATGCGGGGATGGAAGTGTCGACAAGTACACCCTCACCTCACTCCTGCAGTGCTACTGCAATGCAGGCCGTCCAGATGACGCCAACGACGTGTTCCAAAGGATGAGCCAGCAAGGGTGGGTGGACGAGCATGTGCTGACGATGCTGGCGGTGGCGTTCAGCAAGTGGGGGAAGGTGGACGGGGCGGTTGACCTCGTGGGGAGGATGGAAGTGTTGGGGATGAGGCCGAGTGAGAGGACACTTAGCGTGCTGGTCCATGGGTTTGCAAAACAGCGCAGGATCGACAAGGCCATCGAGATGTTTGACAAGATGGCCACTTATGGTTATGTTGCCGATTTGCCAATGTACGGCGTGTTAATTGAGGGTCTCTGCAGGCAGAAGCAAATAGGAAAGGCGGTGAAAATATTTGAGGTAATGAAGAGCAGTGAGGTTGTTCCTGATGTCCGCTTACTCAAGAATATGATTGAGGCTTTCATTCATGAAGGAGATTTTGACATTGTTGGCCCGTTTATCATTGAAAATGCTGGGAAGTTGAAACCCAGTGATGTTACCACACTGTACAATGTGGTTCTACAAGGTCTTGTTAACCACGGGCAGGTAGAAGCAGCTTATCAGTTGCTCACCTCAAGGTTACGTGGTGTTCAGGGGATTAGTGATGGTTTGACTGTTGGTGCACATGTGTTCGATATTGTGCAGGATGTGAAGCCAAACTCTGATTCCTTCAATATTGTTGTGTGTGGCCTTTGTAAGGTTAAGAAGCTGGATGATGCCTTAGCTCTCGTAAAGGATATGGTTGGCTTTGGCAGCAAGGGAAAGCTATTGATGTTTAATGATTTGATCCATGAGTTGTGCAATTTAGATAGGTTGGATGAAGGATACAAATTGTTTAACCAAATGAAGGATCTTGGTGTGATTCCTTCGGAGTTCACATATAATTCATTATTTTATGGCATTTGTAGGAGAAAGGATCCAAATGGTGCCTTTGATTTACTGAGGGAGATGTGCACCAATGGACATAAACCATGGATAAAGAACTGCACAGAGATGGTGCAACAGCTTTGCTTCAGTGGCAGGATAACAGAAGCTCTTGGCTTTCTAGAGGAAATGCTCAAAATGGGTTTTCTTCCTGATATCGTGACATACTCCGCAGCCATGAATGGACTGTGTAAAACCGGTGAGGTGGACAATGCTTTAGGACTCTTCCGTGACATTTCTGCCAAATTTTATCTTCCTGATGTGGTAGCACATAATATCTTGATAAACGGGTTCCGTGTATCAGGTAAATTGAATGAGGCGCAAAAAATTATGGAAGAGATGTTGGAGAAGGGTCTGTTTCCTTCTGTTGTTACCTACAATCTTATGATTGATGTTTGGTGCAAGTCTGGCAATATTGAAAAAGCTGTTGATTGCTTAAATAAAATGGTTGATGAAGAAAAGTCGCCCACAGTAGTTACATACACAAGCTTGATAGATGGATTCTGCAGTGCTGGAAGACCTGACGAAGCCATTGTTTTGTGGCACAAAATGAGTGCTAAAAGTTGTGCTCCAAATAAGATAGCATATACTGCTTTTGTAAATGGATTGGGCAAGTGTGGTCGAGTAGAGACTGCACTGACCTACTATGAGGAGATGATGACGAAAGGTTTTGTGTTAGATACCTTTTCCTGCTTATATTTTATAAATGCTTTGATATCAAATGGGAATACAACTAAAGGATGTGAACTTTTGAAAGAGGTTCTTCAAAGGGACATGACACAGGGTGATGATTTGAAAATGGTAGGATTGATAAATAAAGCAGTTGAAGAGTTGTCTAAAGATGAAAGAACTTCTCCAGAGATCAGTATACTTGTAGAGAAAGGTTTAATTTCAAGGGCTCAAACTATGGGCAAGAAAGATGGAAACAACTGACATTTGTTGCTGGCACGAGTTTTGGATGATTTCCTCAAGTCCTTGTCTCTAACCAGGAAGCCCTTTCCTGCTGCTAGCAGATTGTTCTTGCTTTCTACATGCCTTTTCCTGCTGCGTGCAACTACTTTCTCAAGGTATCTTTGATCTGGAAAACCCTTCTCAGTGGTTACTTCCCTCTTTATAGTACAATAATATTTCTCTTGTCAAATTACGACATGATGTTTATCATCTATCGTATGTCCTGTATGTTAATTGTTCGCGGCTTGGGGCTTAAGATCAATGGAAACTAAATTTGTGGAGTTCTCAATAGGTGTTCCTCATGGTTGTGCTTCTGAATTGGATGGACACCTTTTGGTTCAAATATGGTTTATAGGCCCCAGTATCCAAGACTTCAAGTCTTGAGTCAAATACCGTATGTAATTGTAGAACTAAATGTGATATGGTGTATGTGAAGGCTGCCGAATTTGCTAAGAGAAATATGGAAGGTAATCCTGCATTCAATTCCAGCAATTCCTTTTCTGTACTATCCAATAAGGAGATTATGTTTAGAGAATCGATGATGGGTGTTGATATACCTCTGGATAATTTTGATTTTATTGATGTTCTTAAGGAATTGGAATTATCCAGTGAACAAATTAGTAAGAAAAATGAACACTGTTTAGATATTCATGACTTGGAATGGAAATGTCGCCCCCCTGTGCCCTGTGTCTAAGTTGGCATGATACTGTAGTGGAAGAGGAGGAGAAATTTAGTATAGTTTCTAGAAAAAAGAAAAAGTCTCCTGCTAAGAGAAATGTCACTATTTCTTCTCTTACCTCCTCTTCTATACCTTGTACTAGAAGACAGCAAAAGAATATCAGTTCTACTTTGCCCCCTAGGAGATCTGGTAGCCCCTGATAGCTGTAAAAACAATGAGAGCATTATTTTGGAATTGTAGGGGTGTTGGAAAGAAGGGCATGTCTTCCTACATCAAAGACATAGTCATGCTCATCCCCTGGATGTCCTGGGAATTTAAGAGACTACAAAGAGGAAATAGAATGATACTTTTTTTAGAAAAGAATGATCCTGGATTTTTTTTATCGGCACTATATTGCTTCAGTTGGGAAGTCTCAGGGTATTCTTTGTGGTATTAAGATGGAAACCTGGGATACTTTTTCTGCTATGACAGGGTGTTATATTATGCAGCTTAGTGTGAAGCATAAAACTTTGAATTTGGAGTGGGCTGTGTTAGTTGTGTATGGAGCTGCTCATGATGAGCATAAGTTGGAATTTCTTTCTGAGATGTCTGAATTTTGTAATAGTATTGCTGTACCCCATGTGGTGATTTAATTTTTTGAGACATTGTGGGGAAAAGAATAAACATACATCGCTCCCTCAATCATCTGATATTTTTAATTCGATTATTCATACTTTGAATCTGAGAGAAATTCATATGATTGGGGGTACTTTGGAAGCTCAATATCCTGGTTTGTTTGACATTTGTCAATGGCAGGATTGTACTGTGGCTGATGCTTTAAACTCTGGGCTGGCTTTCCTTTAGAAGAAGGCTTTATGATTAAAGTCTCTCACATTGGGAGGAGATTAAAAAATTCCGAGTCTATGGTGTTGAATGATATTCCTGATAAGGTGAGCTGGGCTCATACTAAGAACAAGCCGTTTTTAACCAAATCTGTTTATAAGTGGTTGGAAAATTGGCTTGCTGGGGCTAACAATCAATGGATTTGGAGAGCGCACATCTCACTAAAGATTAAGGTCTTTATGTGTCAGTTTTTCAGAACTCTATTCTGACACGTGTCTTCCCTAAAAAAAAAATCTGACACGTGATAATTTGGGCAAGAGAAACTGGCCTCTAAATCCTTTATGTTCTTTTTGTGGTGATGTTACAACTGCCAAGCACTTGCTTTTCTCATTTCGTGTGGCTAAGTCGGCCTGGGGAACTATTGGCAGGATTCTGGGCACCTCTTATTGTCCTAGGAATTTGTGGCAAAGCTCGACATGGCTGTATGCTTTCTTGCCGGGCGGGTCCAAATTCTATATGATGTGTATTGCACCTGTTTGCTGGGGAATATGGAATGTCCGCAATAAGGTACCTTTGAGAAGCATAAGATGCAATCCCCTGTGGAAGTTGTGTTTACAATCTGTACATTTCTCTTATACTGGGCAGGTTTACTCAAAAGCGAGGAGCAAGGCGTCTTCAGGACCGGAGTCGAGACATTGATGAACAAGGCTACCACTCTTGCGTCTCTCATGAGCTGACGGAAAATCTAACGGTCAAAGGCCTTTGACCTGACAGAAAATATACGGAAGGGCATTTCTATAACCGCACTTAACGAAAGAGGGGCAAATTTGAGCACACTTCGGAATTAGAGGCAAATTTGAGTAGGTGGTTCGAGTTAGGGGCTGAAATGTAAATGTCCCTTAATTATACCTCCAGAGCCGGATTAGCACCGTTTTGATGTAAATTTAATGAAATCCGTCATGTTTATATGAAATCTAGACATGTTTGAACGAATTTCGTCCGGTTGGTTGGAATTGTTGTTAAAATGTATGTGACTATCGTTGGAGATGCGGGAGGAAATTTACGGGTTGCCGTTGAAGATGCCCTGATGGGTTCACCGGGCCATAGAATCTTGATCAGTAACTGAATTGTTGTGCTCGATCGATACTTCCGACTAATTATAAATAACTAAACCTTGTGTGTATTTAATTGCAGGGAATTGAACAATTTTCACATTCTTTTTTTTTGAGGTAATACGTTTCTCATTCATAAAATAAAATAAAGATCTGGTTACAAGACACGTAATCACCGACATTACAGTACTGAAAGGATAGGATAATCCTACACAAAAAAAACCAACGCCTGTTCCTCTCCTTCGGCATCACCGAAGCGACCACCAAGAGAGAGAAGATAAATCACCTCTTCACCCGAGCTCGACGCGGCTCCATCGCTGATCTGCAGCTTTACGGACCTCCAAAGTAGTTTGTCAAAAGCAAAATCATTGCTGTTGAAAGAATCAGACCGGGGCAACGTGTCCTCAGACACGCCATCGAACTCCAGACCTGACATCCCCGCACGACTACAACGTCGGAGGAGAAAACCAGAGCTGTCAGTCTCCAACCACATTGACTAGCGTTTCAGCGGTATACATCATTTCACTCATGATAGTGAGTACTTTGTGGGGTTGTGTGCAAACAACGCATAGATAGAGGAACATGGACAAGTAATGTTATGTAGTGAAGGTGTTAAGTCTGATGGGTGATGCGGTGACTACGTCCTAACATTCAGCTTGAAGCCATGCTGCAAGTTTTAGGTCATTCTCTGCGATTAGATTTTTAATTTTGTGGGGCTCCTGGCGAAACGAGATCCTCTGACTTTGTTAGAGTTGTGTCGAATATAGTGTACAAGGTAGGTTACAGTTGGACTTGTAGTTGTATCGTGTTTACATAGGATGTGGAGTCGTGTCCTAGTAGGACACTTGTATCCTAGGCCTCTCTTATATAGCGGGGGTAGACACACGATGTAACCTATGCCAACATAATAGCACAGGCACGCAAGGGGGAGCCGGCGGCGTGTGCTGGCGCCCGGGTGGCCGGTGTGCGGTATTGTGACGGTGTCACGGGGAGGAGCGCCCGTAGTCAAGCCCCGGGATGTAGCCATATCGGTGAACCTCGTTAACAAATCTCGGTGCCGTGCCTCGTGTGTGATTGCTTGGTCCTCGATAGATCGACGGAGTGCCTCGAATTATTCTAATAAATGGTATCATGAGCTAGGTTGTTCGGAGACGGCAAGATTGTTGATCCAGAGGAAGGAAGAAACTGTCGAGGGAAGTCTGCAGGAAGCAATCGTAATACGGGATAATTCATCGGCGAGTTACGATGCAGGAGCAGATGTATTGTCGTGTTGTATCTTCGATGAAGCAATTAGAAGAGGAGTCGGCTAGATTGGATCGGAAGCAGCAGGCACCTGGCAGCGGCAAACGCGGTGCCGCCCGGCATCAGCACATGCAGAGCGACGTGCACGAGGCGAGTGCGGCTGCGGATGCGGTCGTGCTGCGGCCGATGGCACAAGGCCCACGAGGGGCTGGCAGCGAATGGCGATGCGTGGCGCAAAGCGGCAGGCCCGAGGCGAGGTTCACGTTGTGAGGGAAAAGCATGTTCTGCAGGCCAACCCAACGCAGCAAAGCCCGAGGCGGGGCTGGTGTGCGTGCAAGAGGTGTTGGATGATGTGCTGTGCTGAACCGAAGGAATCAAGACCGAGGATTTGTTTGAGACAAAAAAGAAAAGGGCAACCAAGACTACGTGTGTGCACAGGAGCAGTTTTGGTTGGATCAAGTTTGATCTATTTTCTGCCATAGGATGCACGAAGAAGCAACAACAAACAGTGACATGAAAAAAAGGAAGTTTTTTCTGGGTCGGTTTGCTGAGATGGCTTGGAACACGTGGATAGACTGCGGAGGCGCGCGGACAAGCGCGTTATGAGGATCATGCATACACATGGCGTCCAAGACATGCACAGATGTGCGCGTGGTCATGGTGCAGGGTGGAGCATGGTTGCAGTCGGATATGTTCGACTGGGTCGGACAAGACAGTCTGACGGATCGACGCAAGTCGGTTGGTACAGAAGACGATGGTGGGATCGGCGACAACGACATAGGAGCGTGATGCTGATGGTGACCGACTTCTGGGCGTGGAAACACGCGGCACAGGCCTGAGTGCTTGTATGGCTTCGACAAGACTATGGCGCGGGGTTGATTCAAGACGGTGCACATGAAAGCTTGGAGTCAACGAGGCGCGGGATGACAAGTACAACCACCATGGAGTCATGTTGAAGGTGGAGCTGAATTGAGGGGCTGCGGTGTAAGGATCCAGGGAATCAAAGCCTATCAGCAAGGGGGGAAAGCGAGGGACACGCAGTTCGGACTGGAGTCCAGTGGTCTGATGGAAGCGTGAAACTCGTCATCGGTCGGTGATGATCTATGGTACTCTGCAGTGGAGGTTGA